ATGGTCCTAAATTTATACTATTTTACTTTTTGTTACAAATATCCGTCTGTGATTAAAAAACTGCCATTGTGGGAACGGAAATAATAATTTCTGACCCATCAAGACCTATTTGTTTCCATTTTATAAATATGATTACATTGATTGCATGTTTGGTGAAACACGTGTTCCTTAATTCATAGGATCCAACTGAAACTTATCCATCAATTAATTAAAATCGGTCCACCAATTACTTGATGTTTCATATAGTATTGTACTACTAAAAACAAAATTTCTTTTTTCTTTAACTCGTAAAAAACGTACATATATGCCATCCCAAGCATCGGTAAACAACTACAAACAAGCCAAACTATGGAGTTAATGAGGCCGAACAATAGAGTTAATGAGGATGGAGTTAATGAGGTCCTACAATGAGGACTTTGATTAACGAGAAGCTCAAGTATGATACTGTTTAATTTGAAGAGTAATGCTATTTATCACTAATGATGTTAGAGTACCAGTTTTACGTTGTTGCACTTGATAGCTTTAACTAAATGAATCATGTAACATTGTAATTAAGTAAATCTATCATTTAATATCATGCAATTTCTACCTAGACCGATAATCACTAAATACTAGTGGTATTGATTATCATTACTCTAGTAATTATTTATATTTTTAAAAATCTATTTCTGTGACTATCTTTAAAAAAATTTCTAAATGTAAGATGTTCGCTATTTTAAAGAGTCGATATTGAAAAAAAGTCGTGAGAAGCTCTCTTTTTGACTTGTTAAAATATAAATTGAGTTTGAATTCACAAATTCGAAGAGGTAAAATCACTATTTGTTGTTAACAAGTTACAAATTTTAATGCTCTAGTTTTTAAATTATTAAAATCTTATTTCAATTGGTTGAATTAGTAACATATAGAAAATATTTTAAATGAAAGATGATATAAAACTTTGAGTCCCATTTTTTTTTATAAGAATGAATGTTTGAATAGTGCATTGATGGAAATGTGTGGTTAAAAAATAAGGAATTTTTTTTTCATTTGTGTGTAATATTATTTTATTAAAAAATATATGATTGAAATGATATTAAAATATTGTTTGTGAATGTATTTTTTTCAAAGAATAGGGCTCAAACATATGATCAATATAAATTTTGTGGAAAAAGAAAATTGAAGAGCTAAAATAGTCAGTATTGTTGTATCAAATAAAAAAGTTTACATTTTAAATTTAAAGATACTTTATTATACGTGAGATTTTTTTTTATAAGTAAAGATTTCGAAGATACTGTTTCGCATATTTACTTCTTCTCAAAGTATATTTCTATACGTTTTGCTGCTCTCTCCGATCACCAGAAGATGACGCCAAAGAAGAAGTTCAGAGGTGTCAGGCAACGTCACTGGGGATCTTGGGTTTCTGAAATTCGCCATCCTTTGCTGTAATAACCTCTCTCTCTCTCTCTCTCTCTCTCTCTCTCTCTCTCTCTCTGTACAGAAATTAGAGATGTGGTATGAAGTTCTTGAATTCAGAGCACGAGCGTTTCTGTTGGAACTGACAATTGTCAGCCTCCAACCTATCACAGGGGTCAGCTCAGCCTCCTGTATGTACAGGGCCCTTTCCGGGATGGAATGGAATGGGGTGGGGTTGAGTAAGGGTTGAAGTGAAATCCTAAGCACTTCCATGAGATGCGAAGAAACTTGCCTATCCCCACCATCCAAGAAGCATTACTGGGAATTCTAACCATGAAATAACATTTGCGTATCAAACCCAAGGGGCATGGTAAATAGGAATATGGGAAGGAGCTGTCCTCAAATTCCTTTTAGCTACTCTTTCAATTAGTCCAATTGATGACCAGCCCAGGTTATGCACGCCAAGGCTATTCGCAATGGCGGACCTAATCTGGGTTTTTGACATAACCAAAACCTCCTGGTCTGGTCTGGTACGCACATGATTGAACAATATCTATCTAGATTTTAACTTCCATTTTTTTCCCCTAACAGCGTAGAGTCATTTTTTAGAACATACGAGGAATCACATTCATATATATATGAAGATTCTAAAATTGCTGATTTGAGATTTACAATAACGTGTGATGACAGGAAAAAGAGGGTATGGCTAGGCACGTTTGACACGGCAGAAGAGGCAGCAAGAGCATATGACGAAGCAGCCATTTTAATGAACGGGCGAAATGCAAAGACAAACTTCCCATTAACTCTTCATCATCAAAATTCTGGTGGAGAACCAAACACTAGTAATGATCAAGAATCACCAACAAAATTAATATCTCCAAAACCCTTATCAGAAATTCTTCGAACTAAAATCCAAAAATGCAACAAGGCACCATCTCCATCTCTTACCTGTTTGAGGCTGGACGTCGAGGATTCCGGTATTGGGGTGTGGCAAAAGCGTGCTGGTCCATCATCAGATTCAAAATGGGTAATGAGGGTCGAGTTTGATCAGAATAAAGAGAAATATTCAAAATCTACAGAAGATAAAGAATTTATTTCTTCATCCAAGTCCCCAGAACTGCAGTTTCAAGGCTCGACCATGACAAGTGAAATGGAAGAAGAGGAGAGAATTGCACTGCAGATGATTGAAGAACTTCTTCAAACGTGAACAGGTTCCACAAAGGTTTGTGTATTTGGGAAGGACAGAAAAAATATATTCCTTTTAGTTCTTGTTACAAAATTATAAATTAACAGTATCAAGGTTATGGAAAATAAGAATTAAAATAGTTTAATTGGAAAAATAAAACTGAAATATATGTTGCAGATATTTTTCACTCAAAGGGAGGGAGTTGATTACAATGAAATTTTTTCACCTGTAATCAAATATAAAACCATAAGACTCATTTTGGCTCTAATTGTTCAATTTGATTGGGAACTTGAACAATTAGAAAAAAACTACCTTTTTACATGGGAAATTGGAAGAGGACATATACATGTGTCAACCACAAGGTTTCGTAGAAAATGAGAAATTTGATTTTGTTTTTAAATTGCAAAAATCTCTGTATGGACTCAAACAAAATACAAGACGATGGTATATAAGGTTTGACACATACGTTTTAAAAATTGGTTTTAGAAGGAGTGAATACGACCATTGTTTATACTATAATAACTCTAGAATCGGGATTAAAACGTATCTACTACTCTATGTAGATGATATGCTTCTAGCCAGCCCCAGTAAAGCTAAAATAATGAGGCTGAAAAGCCTATTAAGGTCTGGATTCGGTATGAAGGATTTAGGAAATACTAAGAAAATTTTAGGGATGGTGATAAATCGAAACAGGCAAGAAAGTATGCTAACTATATCATAAGAACCCTACCTGCACAAAGTTATAACAAAGTTTGGCATGAAAGAAGCTAAGTCTGTCAATATTTCCTTTGCTGCCCATATGAATCTCTCATCTACCCACTGCCCTAAAACTAAATCTGAGATTAAAGATATGACAAATATTCCATATGCTAATGGTGTTTGATCTGTTATGTTTTTCATGAGTAAAACACAAGCAAACCTTGCATATTCAATTAGTTTTTTAAGTAGGTTTATGGCAAACCCTGGAAAACCACACTGGCTGGGTTAAAGTGGCTACTTAGATACATAGTTGGGACAATAAATGTAGGATTGGTGTTCAAAAAGGGATCAGAACTATTAACTCTTAAAGGTTGTGGATTCTGATTTCCCTGGAGATAAAGATCAAAGAAAGTCTACAACTGCCTTCTTTTTTACAATTGGTGATAATTGTATTGGAAGAGTCTCAACTTCAATCAATTGTAACTTTGTCCAACACTAAAACTGAATATGTAAAAGAATGCATATGGCTTAAATGGATCTTGACTGAACTGAATTTTCTGTATACTCCACCTGTGATATTAACTGATAGTCAAAGTACTATACTTTTAAGCAAAAATCTTGTCTATGATGAAAGGTCAAAATACATTGAGGTGAAGTATCATTTCATAAGAGAAAAACTCTCATATGGTGAAATAGTTCTTGAGAAAATTCATATTGACTTTAATCCTACTGATATGGGGACTAAAATACTGCCTGTTAATAAATTCAGATCTTATTTATCGTTGCTTAATATTGATAAATCTTATTTATCATTGCTTAATATTGATATATGTTGATTTTTGTGCAGGTACTTAGGCAATGATGTAGGGTATGGTTCTTTCACTAGCATTATAGCAACAAGAGAGGAAGTGCGAGATTTGAGAAGCAAGGTGAAGATTTGTGGAGTTGTGTTTCTCAAAACACACTTTCATAAGTGAAAATACATTTTCTCCCACTTGTATCCCTATGGACAGTTGGTGGTTTGCATTGGCTAATAAATGGTCACTCGAGTTGGACTTTCTCTTGGCTATTGTAGACCATTGATTTAATCATATGGCTGAGATTTAGTCTTTCATAATTAATGCCTTGAAGACTTTTGAGGATTGGTGGAAAAAATCAGTTGATCACTCTCTCTTTTGAAGAAATTGTCTTGGGTTTTCTCTCTCCAGTTCTCTCTGCTTTTCTTCTTAGATCTGGAGAACTTTGGTGATTTTTGTAATAATCTTATAGTTATCTGATGATGGTAGAACGTAGGTACAATGTTTTAGGCCTTGATTGTGGCTGATATACCTGTATTGTGTTTTTGGCAAGGTTTTGTCTAATCTTGTGGGCTAGGGTTCGAGTTATTGAGAGATCCTTGTGGATTGATGACTATATAGTGGGTTTGATTTGGTTTTCTCAACTATTTGTACACTCTCTTGAAGGTTTCTTGCTAGTGACGAGCTTACCTCTGAACCCCTCAGATTAGGCCGTGTTTGGCTTAACTGGGTGAACAATCTTTGCGTTCGATTTCTGTTCTTGCTTTGTTTTTACTATTTTACGATTGCTTATGGATTTTGGATAGATAATGAAGGGTGTATTGAGATTTGGAAAGCAAGGAAAGTTGAGACCGCGGTTCATTGGACCTTTCGAGATCCTTGAAAGGATTGGTGTTGTGGCTTACCGACTTGCCTTACCACCTGAACTTGCAACAGTGCATAACGTGTTTCATGTTTCGATGCTCAGAAAATATGTTGATGATCCTAATCATGTGGTAAGTTACCAAACTTTGGAGGTACAAAAAGATCTATCATATGAGAAAATTTTGACAATGATTTTAGACAGAAAAGTACACCAACTCAAAAATAAAGAAGTTCCCCTAGTCAAGTTACAATGACGAAATCATGGACGGGATGAATCAACTTGGGAAAAGGAGAGGGAGTTTAAGACCAAGTATCCAAAACTATTCAATTACCCATGGTAATTTTTGAGGACGAAAATATTAAAGGTGGGAAGATTGTAAAGCCCCGAAAATTCGCATTGACTAGAATTTATTTACTTTCATACTATATTTTTAAATTTGGAAAGTTAGGGGACTAAAATGATAAATAAAATAAGTTCAATTTTAATTGGGTCAAATATTTAAATATAAATAGAGTAATGATAAATATATCGATATTGTACTCGTTGGATATCTCGTAATTAATTATGTATATTAGGCCCAAGAAAAAGTCGATTCAGATAAATAAGTTTCAAGATATTTTAGTTTGAAAAAGGTAGATGAAAACTAGTTTTACAATTTAATTTTAACCTTTGATGAAAATGTGCCCTCCACGTGTCACGTGTATGGAATGTTTCATTTTTATTTTGAATTGGTTGGGAGTTGTTAGTACACGTGTATCTTAAAATATAGATAGGTAGTTTTATTTCAAAATAATTTATTTTCCTAGGTTGTTAGGAGATGATAGTGATAGATTACCATGTGTTGATTAGATAGGGAAGAAATAGTGATTGTATAGAATTGAGACTCTTTATGGAAAAAAAAAACATGTTTCTTTGAAAGACTTTTAGGCCTATTAAAATTCAATATTCTCTTTCACCTTTACACCCATATACGGTTATAGCAGCAATAAATACAAAAAATCAAGTTTGGAACGTGAATTTGGAGTTTGTCTTCCAAAAAATTGATTTATTACGAGGTAAGATATTGAGGTGCAGTGTTTTTCTATCCTGTTTAAATATTTTTTTTCATGTTGACGAATTTTATACTCATGAAAGTTAAAGTTATGATGTGATGTGATATGCTATGATATGAATGATATAATCATTCCGGTACAATGATATGATATAATATGATATGAACTCTTACCGGATTTAAAGATATGAGACGGTATGATTTTCCAATACATGTTTTAAAATTTTTATATGGGATCGCACCATTAATTTTATATCCTATTGAGTATTTCCATATACTCACCATTTTCCCTACTCCTCACAAATTAGAGCAGGTTGTTGGTTGGCGGGCGATGCAGTGAAGTTGTGATGCCAGAAATTATGGAGTTCAAAATAAATAAATTATGAGTAACGTGACTATGAAATTTTATTTATTTATTTTTATAGCGTTATTTCAGTTTTATCTTAATGTTAAATTTGCAATTTAATGTTTGGGACATGGTTCAGTTAATTATGTTTTCCATAGGCTTTATTTATTTTATGGATGGAACTAGAAAGATTTTCATATAGAATTTTTGATATAATTTATTTAATTATGAAATAAACATTTTAATGACGATTTTAAATTTTTAAATTTTTGATCGTTAATCCTTACAACAACCAAGATCAAGAAGTCAATGCACAAAGTTACCAATTTTTCTTTGCAAAAACTGAGACTGGACGTGACAAAAGTAAATTGCAAGGACATAATTACGATAGGAAGGATTATTGTCAGTAACCATGTTTTTGAAAAGATGTGTAGTGTTATTGTCACAAAATGTGCATATTTAGCCCGTTGTTTGATTTTAATATTTTGAGAAACGGTTTTGTAAAAGTTATTTTTGGGATAATATATAGTTAAAAGGTAGGGGAAAAGTTGTGGATCCACTTACAAAATTATTTTATTGGGAGAACATGTGATTGAAAACGAGTTTGATGAAAAATGATTTTGAAAAAATCAAAATTAAGAAGGGCTTGGATAAAATTCTGAAGAACTAATGAAGTATCTTGAAATGAAGAGAAGTCAATACTCAAAGGGGGCTTAGAGTCTGTGAATGTTGGTGACAACAACAATGATTATGATATTGATCTTTACATAATTTAAAAAATGAAACTTTAATTGAATTTGAAAGTTTGTATTCTAGATCTTCATACTTTATGTTTTGTGCATATTGGGTGGTTTCATTCATGAGATCATGTGATTCTATCTATGTTATTGTGGCTATTGACGAGAATGTGAAGTTAAAGGTACAAGTACCATAAAAGTAAAAATGTTTGATGAAAAAAATGGGGTTAATTATAGGTATTTCAAATGTTCGGAGGTTAAGGCGAAGTTTGATATCTTTGTAAACTTCAGATATGTTAGAGTCTTGAATACTCTACAAAAGGTGACATGATGAATTTGAAAACAATATTATTTTGCGATAATGAAAGGTGCAAACTTGAAAATCTGTACGATGGAAATGCATCGAGTAGGATTTTCTAATATTGCAAAATACTGTGAATTGATAGATATGACAAGAATGACGATTGTTGGAGTATAAACAAAAATATGTGTTGTAGACATTTTTGTCAAAACACGTAAAATTGTAATTTATTTCCATTATTCAAAAGTTGTGTAGACTTTAATCCCTTTGTATTTGGGAAATAAGAGTTAAAATGTTTAACAATCAAAAAGGGCATTGAGTAAATAATATAATATATCAAAATCCATTGTTGAGTTATGATTACTTTGTATTTGTTCGTTTCTTG